AAAGACCAGCTCGAGTCTGGCTTGTTATTGAGCAGTATGAGCTCCTTATATACATGTCAGACTGAATATCTAGAGTATCCTACAAATATACGGAGGTGTATGGAAAGTGAGAGAATACTATGGAATCCGGGAGAACCATCCAGATGTGTAATATTCATGATATTACCCCCCCGTCTAGAATCGTGTCCTCACGATTATTTACCAGTCGATCCAAAGGCTCCCAATCCTCGTTGGGTTTCTGTTAAACTCGACACCTCTTCGATATTGCATGACGCAATGCATTCCAAAATGACTTGTGCGATTCGATCGCCGGCGCATACCTGAAAGGATTGATTGGTGGAATTAATCAACACCACACGCACTTCTCCGGTGTAATCCCGGTCTACGACTCCAGCACCGATGTCTATTCCCTTAACTGCTAATCCGCTCCGTGGCACAATTTGCGCATAAGTTCCATGAGGGGCACGCATCGCTATGCCGGTGCCGACAATCTTGCGATCTCGTGCTGGTACCTTAACACTTTCGGCCGAATAAAAGTCAAACCCAGCAGATTCTTCGGATCCTTGTTTCGGTAGAATCCCACCCATCCGTTGTATCAAAAGAGTGGTATCGCACGTGAGCATGTCGACGGGTCGTGTTAATAGAGGAATCCCTTCAAATCGTCATAGGTGCGGGTTTGTCGGGACGTCTAGTATGGAATTCTTGAAGAAGTTCCTGACAATTAGTCAAGTTCGCTCGTGATTCCCAGGAACGGCAATCGCCGTGGGAGCTGTTCTTCCAGAGTACCTGATACTTTAAATTTCCGTTTCAGTCACGACGGGAGTCAAGAATTTCTTCGACTTCCCATTCTTCCTCGCCATTTACGAGGTCAGGGACTATCGGTTCACGCCGCTGAGAAGGATACGTAGGTTCTTTGAAGGGACTGAGAAGGCTTTCATTGAAAACGGGGTGTTGTTTCCATTGACGTGGGAGTTCCAATTTATAGGCAGAAGCGCTGACTTTGCGTTTGACCTTGAAGGGTCCATATCGCTTATCGTCGAGCTTCTTCATTGGCCTGTCGGTTCGGATGTTTATCCCTTCTAGCCAGACTTTATCTCCAACTTTGTATTCCGGTCTGCTCTTTCTCTTTCGGTCGTAGAAGCGCTTCATGGACTCCTGCGCTAGACTGATAGCCGCGCTAGTATCTTTGCATACTCGATCCATTCTATCGACAAATTGTTGCATGTTTTCACTTAGTCCCTCTTGTACCGGTTGGGTTCCTTCATAAGGGTGGTACCCTTTATTGACAAAGAAGGGGGTATACCCGGTGGATGAATGAACTTTATTGTTGTACGAAAAGGCCGCTAGTGGCAACCATTCGGCCTAATCTGCTTGTCGGTAGTTAATGAATAATCGGAGGTATTGTTCTATTTCGCGATTGATACGTTCTGTTTGTCTATCAGTCTGAGGGTGATACGCGGTGGAGGGGTTGGCTTCGATTCCAAGTGATCGGTATAGTTCAGAGATGAACTTGTTCTTGAATTTGGTGCCCCTATCACTGATGATCTTTCGGGGAAGTCCGTGATGTGCCACCACATGGTCGCGAAGTGCTTTTCCCCATCCTTCGGCATTGAGTTCAATGTTACTTGGTATCGCGATTATCTGCTTGGAGTACATGCAGACGACTACGAGAATAGCGTTATACCCAAAGGACTCAGGTAATACTCCTATCTCGTCTACCGAGATTACTTCCCAGGGTCGCGTAGGAATTTTGTTGTGGAAGAGAAGTCCGGTAGGTCGTATTGTGTGCACCTTGGTCTTCTGGCATTTTTTGCATCCAGCAACGTACTTTCGGATGTCTTCTCGGATTTTAGGCCACCAGTAGTTACGCGTGACCATTTTGTGTGTTTTGTATTGACCGGGGTGTCCTGCCAATGGGGTATCATGATGATGAACAATGATCTGTTCACGGAGTTTCCTATTTACTGGTACATAGATACAATTTTTCCACGTCACGAGTCCGGTGCTATCTTTGTTCCAATCTTTGTCCTTGTTCTGTAAGGCTGCGGTAACTAGCAAATCTCGGTTCTTTTTGTATTTTTTAATCTCTGTGACCCAGTCCTGGTCGATTCCTTCTAAACTAAATACAGTACTACGGATTAGGGTACGGAAATGTTCTGGTTTTAGTAGTATGATATCTGAATTGTCCTCTTTTCCTGCATTGTGTCTCTTCTGTTGAGAAAGCCCATCGGCCTTGCCATTCGTCTTTCCAGGTTTATGATGTAGCGAGTAGTGATACTCAGCTAATTTGGTTATCCATCGAGCTTGTCGTCGATTGAGTTTTTGTGGCTTCCGGAAGTATTTCAGGTTCTTGTGGTCTGTCCATATTTTGAATGGATGCCGGGCACCCATGAGATACTGGCGCCACTCGTCAAGACTAGTCATGATTGCGAGAAGTTCTTTATCGTAAATCTCGTAATTTCTTTTGGCTGCTGTCATAGCTTTGGATAGATAGGCGACGGGTTTGCATTTGCCATCTTGCTTCTGGGCTAACTCAGCTCCTACGGCAAAGTCCGATGCGTCGCATTCTACGCGATAGGGGTTGTCGTCATTGGGTATGGCCAATACTGGTACGGAACAGAGTGCATCTTTCAGGCTTGTGAACGCTACTTCTTGTTCGATAGTCCATTCGAAGGTAGCATTTCCTGTTAATGAACTAAGTGGTTTTGCTATCTTGCCGTAGTCTCGGATAAATCTTCGGTAGAAGTTGGTGAAGCCGAGGAATGCTTGGATGTCTCGTTTGCACTCAGGCCGAGGCCAGTTGACGACTCCTTCTATCTTTACTGGGTCCATGCGGACAACGCCCTTTCCTACTATCATGCCCAGATATTCAACTTCTGTCTTCTCGAACTCGCACTTTTCCAGTTTTAGGTAAAGTTTGTGTTCCCTCAAGATTTGTAGAACTTGCCGCGTGATCTGACAGTGTTCTTTCAGATCTTGGGTGAAGATTGTGATATTGTCTAAATAGACTACTATGTTTTCTTGACTAATGAGATCTCAGAATATATCGTTCATCATAGTCTGGAATGTAGCTGGAGAGTTTTTGAGGCCAAAAAACATGACTAGTGGTTCGAACAGTCCTCGATTGGTGAGAAAGGCGGCTTTTTCTTCATCGCCTTCTTTGATGCGAATATTGTTGTACCCCCATCGGACATCCAATTTCGTAAAGTACTGTGCCTGCTTCAACTTGTCCACTAGTTCCTGTATCAAAGGAAGTGGGTAGCGATTCTTAATCGTCAGCTCGTTCAGCTTCTAATAATCTTGCACCGGTCGAAGACGTCCGTCTTTCTTTTTGACGAAGAAGAAGGAAGAGGCCCATGAGGACTTCGAAGGTCAGATTCTTCTGGTTCTGAGGTTCTCTTCTATGAACTCGTCAAGTTCCTTTTGTTCGCTTATCAAGATTGGGTAAACCTTGCAGCTGATTGGTTGCGCACCTGGTGTGAGTTCGATCACATGGTCCCATGGTCTTCTTTGTGGTAAAGGATCAAAGTCTTCTTTGCTGAACACATCGGAGTAGTCGTGATAGTGACTTGGGACAGTGTTTTCAAATGTCTTAGTCTCGTGTTTCAGACTTTCCTTAATGGCTAGATCAGTGGCCGTGGTGCGAATGTGCGCTGCTCCCGTAGCAAAGTAGGTTTCGTGGTCAAGAATAAAGATTCTATTCCCTTCTTCTAGGCGAGCCTCCAGATCGCTGGGCTCTTCATGATTTGCATCGATGTCAATTAATCGGGCGGCATATTTGCAGGCAATCGGGCACTGATCAAATTGAATGACTTGTTCTTGCCAATCGATAGATGGATTGTGCATCTGTAACCACTCATATCCAAGGAAGATCGGAGTCTTTCCCAGATTTGTGACGGCGAACGGAAGTCGTTCGATGTGGTCCTGAATTTCCACTCTCAATTCAACAAAGTTGGTAATAGCACCTCCGGCATTATGCGTTCCGCCTGCGTTATAGACAGGGATCGGTAATGGCAGTTTCTTTGTGGCAATGTTGTTATCACGGACAAACTGCACATCAATAGAAGATCCGGTACATCCTGTGTCTAATAACGCTTTGACTGATAAACGCTGCTGCGTGTCTAGGGTAGTGATGATCATTGGGACATCCATCTGTGTCCCCTTCCTTCCTCGGATAAATCGAAGCTGCTTTTGTAATTCATTCAAGAAGTCGGCTGCTTCTTCTTCTTTCATTTGCCTGATTTGGTTCAAACAGGCTTCGGAGGCGTCAACACTCTTCTTTGAGTGTACCCATTCTGTCAACAATCTAAGCGCTGCTTTGTCTTTGCTGACTATCCATTGGCGGATCCATGCCGCTGTCCATGGGGTGTGGCGTTGCCACTGCGTAGATTCAGTCTGATTCTGGGTGGGAGGTAAATTTTTATTCGGGGGAATTAAGCAAGAGAGTTGTGCCTCTCCGCGCTGTTCTATGGATGCCCCTTTCTTTTGTATATACATGGGAACCCCAAACCAAGAACACAGATAGTTCGTGAAATTCTCTTCGGTCAACTCGGCTATGCACCCAGCTGACCGCTTGCAAAACCCTTCATAGCCGCGCAAATTTCTTTGCGAATTGCCATTTTCCAGTCAAATGGTTCTGCCGTTGCGGCAGGAGCTTTGTTGAGTGATGCGAACGGCATGAATACATTGGTAGTGGGAATTGCCGGGGTTTCCGCGGCCCGTACCTGTTGAGCTTGTTGCCGATTAGGGCAATTGCGCGAAAGGTGTCCTTTTTCCCCACGTCGGAAGCAAAGACCCAGATGTCGTGCCTGGTCTAGCTCCATTGGCTGTCCTCTGCCGCTGAATGTGACGCCTGTCCCATCGCAACATGTCTGGACCGGGGCGCTTGCAGTGGGCGCGGCTATGTTAGCCTGTGCTCGTGGCGCACTTTGTGCCTGTTGCTGCCGAGGTTGAAATTGTCCTTGTCGCTGGGACTGTGGGTTTCGCCGACGGTACTGCTGCTAATTCAGGTCAATGCGTGCGACCCATTGTTTGTAGAGTGCGTATGTAGCGGGGAGTTCTTCTGACAAATTGTAAAGAAGCCGAATGATGTCGGCCCGGAGTGCTTTTTCTAGAAGCAATTTTAACTCCTGGAAATGTGCCTCGAAGTCGTGAATGTTCACCTGGAAGGCGCATAATTCAAACTTCGAGAAGAACTCCTGTGCTGATAGCGCTCCCATCTGCATTGCTTGCAGCCTATCGTACGCTTCTGCCTGTTCATCGATGAGGAAGTGTACATCTCAATCCTTCCATGAATTGTTCGTGGTTTGAATCACAGTATCTTCATCCGTGTCATACTTCTTCATGTATGTGGCAACGTATTCGCCTGCATGTCCACCTTTCATATACGACAAGATCATAAGGACCCTGTCAAATTGTTCTGGTAGCCGCTTTCTCTGTGTGACTACATACAATTTCATTTGCGTCTTCCAAGCGATATACTTGGATTTTGTGCCATCAAAGGCATCAGGTTTCATCGCACTTCCATTTAGGAGCGCGGCACTGTCTTGATTCTCGGCCATCGCACCGGGATCGGATGGAGATGAAGGTGGTGTGGGAGAACGTCGGGAAGGTGGGTTCAAGGCTTCTGAATCTTCCAAAGCTTCTTCCATGGGATCTGGTGGTCCTTCTGGTGGTACTTTGGATTCTCCGAGAGCGATTGAACGGAGATGTTCGGTGACTGAATCGAGTGTGTCGCGTCTTTCTCTGGGTTCTGAGCTAAATGCTACGGGTTCGGGGTTGGAGAGGGATTCGGAAGGTTCTCTGGTGTTTACCCTTGTTACTAGTTCTCTGCGTAATCCTTCTTCGCACCGTGGGCAACGAGTACTATTTTGTGGAGAATGCGGGCACGGCTGTTGTACACAGTATCGTACGGGATCTCCGCGTTTGTAGATAGTTCTTTCTCCTAGTACTCGATGTTGGTATCCTCTACAGTCACAGGAGAGCGTTGTCATATGCTATCGGGTCCGTGGAGCTGATTGCAGCAAACCCTGGGACTAATCGTGTTGTAACAACCAGATCAGGGGTAGAGTTCGCCAAAGATAGGAATTTCCAAAAAAGAGCCGAAACGCTATCTTAATACAGTCCTAGAAATAGTATAGCAGCCCAAAGAGCGATTGTGTCTCTTCGGTCCGACACCCTGACAGGGATCGTCGATCTAACTGCTATCTCTTTTCCGACGCCCAGCCTCAGCCAGTTGCCACGTCGTACTCAGGAATATCCGCTTGCACTGCGCAAAGCGTTCAACACCACCTATGGTAGGGCAGTGTACAATTCTAATTGGATGGAGCTCTGTCCAGCCACTTAAGGGCTGGTGATTACAGAGGTGGCTTTGGAGTGTGTGATATGGTAAAAATGCGCAAGTGCGCGGGGAAGGGTTCCAGGGGTCTTGATGCGGTAGAGCCGATAGGGTTAGGATTGGGGTGAGATTTTGGTTAGATAAATGAGATGGATCGTTGTGTGGAGCTAGGTGATAGTTGGTGTGAGAGTGACGAGAATCGTCGTAGGGCAGTTGGTGGAGACTCGAGCTAATGTCAGCAACTAACAATCCAACTGGACTGAGCTACAACAATGCTGAGGAGACAGACTAGAGGAATGTAAGTGAGGAAAGACCAGCTCGAGTCTGGCTTGTTATTGAGCAGTATGAGCTCCTTATATACATGTCAGACTGAATATCTAGAGTATCCTACAAATATACGGAGGTGTATGGAAAGTGAGAGAATACTATGGAATCCGGGAGAACCATCCGGATGTGTAATATTCATGACAGCTTGCGACTCATCGTTGATTCCCTGCATATGCGCTGCCTTTGTATCAAACATAACGGCGGATGCAGAATTCGAGGTCACGAAGAGGGTCTTGTGCTCTGTGCTGCGCCGCTTGCAGCTGACCTGGGCTCTTGAATCAGGCAAACTGCAATTCAAGAGACATTACCGTTCTGAAAATTCTGTTACGAGAGAAGACATCTTGTCGGTACCAACGAAGCACACCATCGACAGCACCACGATCACTCTCAACATCGCCGAACAAGCCAAGTGGTTGCTGCGCTCAGTCCACTCTCACTATGAAGAGGAAAAAAAGCAAACAAAGGAGTATTACTTACGAGAGCTTGTAAGGACCCGCCCGAGTGGAGCATCCACGGACGCAGCCTCAGGGACCGCGCTGCCCACTGCAGATGGGGCTCAAGATATGGTGGTCGAGCAGACGTGGGAAGCGGCAGAAAGAGGTGGTCCGGGAGACGAACAGAGCGAGGAAATGGGCGGCGTCGACGATGAAGAGAGCATATAGGAGAGAAGGCATAGGACAGGCATGAGCATTGAGTGCAGTAAGATGTCTCGTTGACGGACCATTGTGACCGCACGGACATTTGAGTTTGTTTCATAGATCTCGTCTCTCTTCTGGTTGTAGTGATGTGCAGGCCCGGCTTGGACTCAAAGCCCGGGCTTGGGCTTGTGACGACGTCGAGCCGAGCCCTGAGCCCGGCCCAAGCCCGAGCCCGGCCCAAGCCTTGGGCTTAAGCCTGGGCTTGCTCACAATACAACGAGTGTTCCGGTGCTATCAAAAGGGAATGTATTTGGGTGTAGTAGATTAATACTGCATGTACTCACTAAATTATAACCTCCAGAAGATCTACATCTGCGGAACAAGTCGAGTCGCAGCGAAGTCCACGAGCGTGCACCTACGACGGGCACCAGATGGTGACGCACAATCATGCTCGGCGGGAGCCGTTACATCTAGAATATCTACATTTTGTCTTCTATGTGCATATTAGGTCGCTCTCTCCTTATTCTGAACTCAGGGAACGGTAACGGAGCCAGCACATCCAAGCCTGGGTTTTCAGGCCGGGTTTGGGCTTGACTACGCTCTGAGCCCGGCCTTGAGCCCGCTGCCAGGCTTGATTCGGGCCAGGCTTTTTGGGCCAGGCTTGGCGGGCTTGGAGGCTTTGAGGCCCGGCCCGCACATCACTATCTGGTTGTATTCATTTGGACGTTGCTTATGATTCTTGAGCTCGATTGTCATTTACCATTTTTTGGTTGCAGTGTGCATCCTTTATATTTGTCCATATTATCTATTGCAATACCCTATCATCCCACTCCTTGCTTTTCTTGGTATGTATTATCAGGCCCCGCTGAAGGTCATAGCCATATTATCTCTACTGCTGCTGCAGAGCGGGACCCCGATGCATTCACCGGGCTAAATCGGACTAGTGCTCAGCACGAGAGCGTGTGTACATGGTAAGAGTAGACTATAACACATGTTGCAAAACAAATGCTGACAGGAGAAATAGCGTGGCACCTACCTTTTACTCGATCTCCGCTTGCGATCTCACTGCCTAAATCTTAATAAAAAGGTGTGTATCATAATCTCGTTGCATCGTCACGGTGATGGCATAAGCCCGCAGATGAGGCAGCAGAAAAACAATGACGGGATAATTGATGTAGAGGGTGCATCAGAGAAAAATGACTTTGCTACATAGTATTACGAAGCCAGTGTAGAAGTTGAAGCAGTCGGAGAATGGTCCCCCTTTCAGTAGCAAGCACCAAACACGTCCCTGCTCTGGAAGCACTCTCGTAGTAACCACTAGTCTCAGGAACACTCTCATAGCAACTCTGAGGTATAATTGTAGCTTGCCCCATGTAAGCAATATTGCACCTGGTATTGTAGCATTGATAACCAATCACCCATCTCATCATACAAGTATCATCAGAGCATTAATATTGAATAGCATATTAACTATTTTACAGGGCTGTATTTACACAGAATTTCTTGTACTACCACTTGAATGAGCATGGGCAAACATTACATTAGTATGTATCACCTTGAGCACACAGCTGGATGTGGCACACTGAGGTAGCACACAAGGACGGCGCCAGGCTGCGGTACTCCGGGGAAGAGCGCCGCGGGCAACACAAAGTC